CATTTCACATAGAGATTCGTTGTGATTTGGACTGCTTCTTTTTCAGAAATGGTCCGATGAAGCATTCTATTATACTCTCAACTAATGTAATAACCTTCATCAAACTTAAATCTTAAATCTACCACTTTTATCTAAACCACTAGTTTGCATAGTCGACCATGATTATGTTAATCTTATTTTTTTTTCAAACATTTTTGCATTACACAAATAAACACAAATGACCTTTCATACACCATCCACATTCCATACATCTCTTCAATGTCATAAATGATGTTGCATGTACATCTTCATTACCAACAGCATCTTCACCCATACATCACCCTTGCCATCTTTATACACAACATAAGACAATATCAACATCTTCCTCACAGTCGCCTTGAAATAATGTCATCACCACTACTATCACCATAACCATCATCATCATCATCATCATCATCGTCACCATCATCATCATCATCCTAATACAATAACATCATCAACTTTTACCTTAAAGTCATATACATACATATGCCAGTGACATCGTCATCATCCTTATCGCATAAATCCTGATACAATACGTAAATCCACCGCATCAACATATGATATATTTTCAGAACCACCATACAGTCATTCACCTTGATACATTGTCGTCATTATCTCCATACACAACATTAAACATTTCCAGAACAACATCACCATCATTACAAGGCATATGGTTAATGTCATTTTTCCATCATCAGATTCATCATACCCATCAAGTGTGATCAAGTATCATCATCCACATCACTAAGATGTAACATCATATATACAGTATTGCCACACACACACACACACACACACACACACACACACACACACACACCTTCAAATACATATACAACTTACAACTTAATAAGAGAGACAGGAAAAAAACAAGTTCATGAGATTTATATCCCCCGCATTCCGAACATATTCTAAGCAAATAGTTTAGAGGTTGGGAATAAACATGTCATAATGCTATGTAGATTGATATATTATCTTGAGCTACGATGTATTGCTTTAAAACCAAAGAAAGGTGTAAAGGATTATAGAGTGTAGATGTTTTATTGGACGTATCAAATATTAACCAATACAGTGAACTAATTAAAGAAAATTTGAACAGATGATGCTGATTGCTGAACTAATGTGCCCTATTATGCAGAGCACGGAAATTAACTGACCAATGAAATCAAAGGTAACCTAATTAGTATGCATAATTTTTAACAGATGACACTGATAGTCAAACTCAGTTTTAATGACCCTAAGATGCCTTTGCTGACCGTTCAGTATATTTTATTCAGTTCCTCCAGGTTTCCCTGAGATAGAAAACACAGTCAGTGTTGATGGTCAGAACAGAACAGTAGGAACGGAGGATGGAAGTATAACCTTGACATGTAATGCATTTGGTGGTACTCCAGCGTCTAATGTGTCGTGGATTAAAGATGGCGTCATCTTAGTGACATCAGCCAATGCAGTACAGTACAGAAAGGTTTTCACCCGAGGAGACGACAGAAATGTGTACACATGTCAGTCTAGTAGTCCAGCCCTGACAAGCCCTCAGACCACCAGTGTGTTGATATACCTAGATTGTGAGTATAGAGTGTGTACACATGTCAGTCTGGTAGTCCAGTCCTGACCCGTCCCCAGACCACCAGTGTGTTGATATACCTAGATTGTGAGTGTAGAGTGTGTACACATGTCAGTCTAGTAGTCCAGCCCTAACCAGTCCTCAGACCACCAGTGTGTTGATATACCTAGATTGTGAGTAAAGAATGTGTACACATGTCATTCTAGAAGTTCAATCCTTACCAGTCCTCAGACCACAGTGCATCCTGTATAAATTCAACTGAAGTTTTGAGAAAATGTAAATTGGCCACGGGAGCAAAAGTAAATCAGTTCTACATATGTTAAATGATGGTGAATTTTCAATACAACAACTTTCATTATATAAATTATAAATCATATTGTATAAATGGAAAATATCCATATTTGTGTACCAAATGCAGGGCCCTTGACCCCTCCATGACAGAAGTTATTGCCCTTTGTTTAAAATACCTTGTCCAGAACATAATTTTGCTTGCATTGAAGCTAGGATATCGAAACTTGGTGTAAGCATTGATTATACGAGGACAATGTAGTGTATCGATGTCATTGCCCTTTGTTAAAAATATGTATCCCAGGCATTACGTTGCCTGCATTTAAACTAAGATATTGAAACGTGATGAATACATCAATCATACAAACGCAAGACTCAGCGTAGCAAAGTCATGGCCCGTCCGTTATTGTCCTTTGGTATTATCACTTCTCTGTCGTGAGCTTTGCTTGCTTTACAACAAAGATCATGAAACTTGATGCTTACATTGATCATATTAAGAAAAAGTGTAGTGTATCAAATTCATGGCCTGCAACCTGTTAATTACAAAATTATTGCCCTTTGTTAAATTCTTTTGAGTCATTTTTGGGGAGCCTTTACTGATACTCATTTTTTTATCGTGGTATTCTTATCGTTTGCTTATAACCTGCATTGATTTGATCCACATAAACGTTCATTTGTTACATCAATAAGATCTTTCTTAATATTAGCTCATGTTCCTTTATTACAGTGAAGCCGATACAGCCTACTTTATCTGGCCAGATGTCCCAGACAGAGAACACAGACCTACAGGTAGTGTGTGAGTCTACAGGAAGTAGACCTGCGGCCGACATTGAGTGGAATGTTGGGGGAAGATGGCAGTCAAGTAATCCAACAGAGGTCAAGGTCATGGACAGTGCTACAGAAACCTACACCGTGACGTCAACACTCTCTCTCCGAGTCACACGTCCAGACAATGGGAAGTCTGTGTACTGTAGAGCCAGTAACCGGGCCTTATCTGGAGGGACTGAATCAGCACACCAGACTATAACAGTATTGTGTAAGTAGTGTAAGTATATCATCTCTAACACAGGCACACGTCAGGATAATGGGAAGTTTGTGAACTGTATAGTCATTATCCTGGCCTTGTGAAGTGTCGATAACAAACCATTGCCATCATTCGCAACATGTTCAAAAGTAGGAGATATAATTCCGTCAAGTACTAACGTCAATTCTAGTTTCCTTGGACAAACTTATATACATCGGACATATGAAGGGTCGTACCAGTGAACAGTCTCACACTCTGTTGGTGCTGTGCAGGAACGTCTTAGTATTGGGATATGCTGTGAGTAATGGTGTTTGATTATGCACTATTAAATGACTGTTATCGGCATGATTTGATGCCCTGGTACCCGTAGTATGACACCCAATAAATAATATACAAATTTTACAAACGTTCCTTAATAATCTGGAAGTTGGAGAATTCTCCCGACTATCTGAAAAAAAAACATGTAAATTACACTTTCTGAACCAGAGCACAAAAATGTATAGTGTTATCCTCAACTTGCTGGTTAGCTATATGGCTCAACAAATTATGGCTCCGAGCGACGAACGCTCGCACCTTATATACTGGTTATGAATATTAGCATTTCTAATCTCTCAGCCGGCTCATCAACTACCAGATATTATTTCCGGTTGAAATGAGTTCCGATACATTCGATGAACTCTCATACAAAACGAAAATACGTCATTATACGGGTGCAACAAAGTGATTTACTTTCATACATGGTAAATGATCAATATAAGATCATCAAGAAATGAAACATTCTTCGCTGGCAACGTGTTAACAAATGTACAGATAAATATAAATTTCCTGACATGGCCGAGACGCTCGATACCGTATGCCTTCATCGCCGCCCCAACACTGCTGAATCACTCTCGCACAACCCCGTACATCCAACTCATATTTACAACTTAGATTGAGCAGTATTATTATTGTATGATGAATATTCCAGTAGCTTATAATGGTAAGTCAACACTGTAACGATAATTACTTGTGTTATACATTATGTGGTTATTTCTTTGGTACTGCCATCGTAACAAAACGTGTCCTTTACATATACTCAGACACAAGCACGTCAGAGGAGAATTGCTTGGTTCGTGTCTGTTTGTGTACGTAAGACGAATTTTAAAGCATTCGTAATCATATGAAAAAAATGTATGTGAACGTGTATCATTGTACACATCCTTGCAGGTTTACTTTCAGATAGTTTCTCCAGATTAGCAAGTCGCATCTTACCTATATATAACCACTACCCCTATTGTCATATCTCTTTCAGATTAGGTTAGCATTATTTGGTTTTGTGGTGTGTCAGTGTGTGTTATAATGTGCATTATAAAGAAATAATTCTTGCATTGAAATAATAATTTAAACCTGGTGGAAACATTTAAATAGCATGAAAAAACTCTCATAATAGTTTACAAAAAGGAAATGAAACATGTGTGAGTGAATTAAATAAACTGATTAATAAAAAGATGAAACGATAAACTCTCTAATTGTTATATCATTAATACTTCATCTCTAATGTTTGCTATTTTACTTAACGTTTTATTCAATATCAAACTTTATTCTCAGATCCTCCTGACATTTATATAAGCTACACAAACGTCACATACACATCTCCATACCGGATGTTTACATGTTCCCCTGATGGTAACCCAGCTATATACCAGTTTGGACAGTGGCGACACACGGCGGAAGACGGTACATTGATACGTCAATTTACCGGAATTTCCAGTTCCACAGAGTCGATCCTAACCTTACCTGACACTGATGTTACACGGCGGTATGAGGACACAGGGTACTACATATGTTCAGCCTCTAATGGCATTCCAGTCTCGGCTTCATACACGTTCGGATCAGTATTCTTTGTTGTAGGAGGTAATTAACCATCCAGGCATATTTTGAACCCAGGTCTTCTTCTGCCTTCTGGTAGAAAATACTTCCTTTTCATATTTACTTATGTATCGATGTTTATTCTCTTTCGTCGACCCTCAATCAATTATGTTTTAATGCTATTACTGTTTTTTCGTTCATTGTGTTTATGGTAACACGTTTTTACAGAGATGCTGATTTGTTTACATGCTTGTTTAGGAAAGAAAAGATCCAATAAATATCCCCTAATCAGATAACGATTAAGAGCGATGACTTCATACACGTTGACGAAAAATTCATACATGTAAAATATTATAAACTATAGAAATATCCGCCTCAATAAGTAATCAATATTACGGTGACGTTTGATTAGTGAGTATCAATATATCATGGACAGTTTATTTTTCCACTTCAGATATCAAATGTATATCACCTGGGAAATATAGATATAGAAGGCACTTTATTCATACTTTGTCTTTGGTGGTGTATAATTGTAAACAACTCCACTTTAAAGAAAAATACATTTTTCATATTTTTCACTGATTGATTAATATTTCGTTGCTATTGTTGATTTGTTTACTTTGATATATTGAAGCTCCTCCTGTGATTATTACCAACACTACAGTGGTAGAGGAAAAGATTGGGAACAATGTAACTTTGGAAGTGGAATTTTACAGCAGACCAGAAGCAAGACCAGATACTGTCACCTGGACCACGGGAGGTTCTGATGGATCACTTTCCGTTGGCAGATCATTCACGTCTGTAGATCAGAGGACTTTCATAATGTCATTTCATGGTGTAGAAGTACAGGCCAAAGGTTATGTTGCCACACTGATAATCAGGAATGTCATGGATGTGGACTTTGGTAACTACACGGTGATGATTGAAAATATTTTTGGAAGGAGGAACCACACCTTAGCTTTGACAAAAAGAGGTGACTATTATGGACACTAGTGTATTTGGTGAGATAACTACAGATAATAGATGAGAAATATTTAAACACTCGTTTAAAATTGATTTTAAAACGACTTAGTATCAAACATATATTTACCTAGATACTTTAGCATATGGGAAAACATATAAGTCCATTCTAAAGGAGAAGTTGAATGCGTTTTTACTTTTTGTATTATTATAATCATCTTTACGATGTCTAAAAATCATTAAGATCAATAATTTATGAAACAATAAACATAGCTGCGCTCCTCTACAGGTCCACATGTAGTCATAATCAATGTATTTCGATATTCGCCATCCTGTGATTCGTGATGAGGGGTTTGAATAATGCAGTGATCTACAAAATATTAAAGACAACATGTCTCAGTTCATATATCTGTTTAATTGCAAAGGGAAATTGAGTGCAATTCCAAAGCTAAACAGAAATCAATTAAATTAAGGAATATACTTTAACAGACCAGCCATCCCCTCCACTCTACTTTCTACAAAAAGATGTAACCGGAAGTAGTATCACAGTGCAGTGGATTCCGGGTTCAAATGGTGGAATGACCCAGTCGTTTGTAATTAGTTACAAGTCTGACGTCAGCAAAGACTTTACTGAATTGAACGCAATTCCAGATAACATGGAATCCGTCATGTCATATAAGATAGATGGACTGAAAGAGAACATGGCTTACAGTATCCGAATTCATACTCAAAACGACATTGGCCAAAGTGATCAGATATCTATCACCGTTTCAACTAGTGGTAAGCTTATATTATTTACATTGAAAATTGGACGGAAAATTATTCAATGTATATGTAATATATCGGATATATGACTATAACTATGAGTGAAGTATCGCAAAGTGAAAGATGCATTGATTTATATATAATGATAAACATAGAGAGGCTCAAAAGATCGTATTAAAGTATCAAAATTCATTAGTTAAAATGATTTGAAATCGTTTCCCCTATGTTTTTAAACATGCAGAAAATTGTTACCAGGAACCAAACTCCACTATAGCTGCGCTGATTTCGGTGTCTGTTTTTTGTATTGTTGGATTTGTAGTGGCGCTGGTTGTTATCGTTGTGATAAGTGAGTACAACAATAAGCCTATAAGATAAATGATTACTTGGTGAACGTATAACTATAAATTGAAGGGCAATTGTATATAGTTATATTATACATTAGTTATCCCCAGTAACTTAAAGATTAAACAGAAGACAAACAAGTGAAGATATTTTTGTAATATAACATTTTGTATTTAGATATAGTTAAATTATTAAATTGCATTCATATAAATGTTTAACGTCATTGAATGTGGTTTTGCTCTAGCTGTGATGCTTATTTTACAGATAGACGATCATCGACAGGATGGTAAGATAAATACTCCTGATAACTTAATCACAAATTGCGATATTCACACAAGTGATTGATAGTTGTAGTTGCAGAGCTACTATCATTCTCGAACACCATTCAGTAGTATAATAATTCAGTAAATGCCAAATGTTCAATAGCCACTAAAACTTGTGATTGTTGGTGGAGATGCTGTTGTTTTCTTTGTAATGCCATCGGTTCGTTGCATCATATACAACCATGACGTCATCAAAGAAACTGATATTGAGTGAAAGGCAAAGGATAGTGTAAGGACAGTTGACATACTATTTTAACAGTCATTTGATATAGAGGTCCTTCATCTTCGATTCTAATCGATATGATCGATGCAAACGATTTGATTACACGTGTAAAATGTCCGACGTCTAATATGCTTTCGGGTGGAAATATCAATTATTAGCAATTTGGCATGAACTACGCCGTTGATGAATAAGTGTAGCAACTAAAAAGCTGAATGTATATGACTAGGACATAATGGAATGTGATCTTTTGTAGTAAACACTACTGCCAAGCTAAATTATTCTTGTCTTTCACAGCCATAAGAGGAAAGACAGCATTGAACACCACAACGAAGAAGAAATGAAACAGGTTGCCTTTTCTGAGGAAGGTAAGTGATTTTCTCGTGTTCTGAGTGAGAACTTCGATTGCATCAATGTACGTCTGATGTCATTTTAGCTAATTACTTATTGGATTTGCAAAACAATTTCTTCGTAATTATCCTTCTTTAGTGACTGTATCGTAACATTCCCAATGTATATCTTACAAACAATGTGGATTAATATAAGCATTGAACTTCTATTATAGGAAATGAACGAAAAAAACTAATTATAATTGCTACGTTAAGATGTATCAGTGCTGAGAATAAAATAATCATATCTTTTGGTCAATTTACCATTTCATATGCAGGAAGAATCAATTAAGTATTCCATTGTGCATATGCTATATGCAAATCATGTGTCATCATTCGAGGTTTTGTAATCAATTTTATAATCGTCAAATATGTTTTTCTCTTATTTTTTTCTTTCTTTTTTAACTGTTATGTTTCATTGTTCTATTTCGTTCAAGCAATGGTGAAAGATCGTGATCAAAACAGGTAAGGTCAATTTTCTGAATGCTTTCATCGAATGTAACTTTCCTGATGGGACATATTAGACAAGTTTACACTATTAATTTTTTGTCCGTTCACTCTTTCGTCATTTCATAATATAGAAACCAAAACATTTCGAAATATCACATAATAATAGGCTGTGATGTGTATAATACGGAGTTAAATAAACAAAGGTCAATGTCGCTTTAACTTATACCAGGACTATATATCGATAAAATCTATATATTCTTTCAGTGACACAAAAGATGCAACCTGAACAGAAATCAAATAGAAAGTTAGTTGCTACATACAAAGATCACGAAAAGCCATTGTCAGTAGGTTGAACGTCGAGGCATTATAAAACAGAAAGATCAGAATACTGTGTCAGTAGATAAATAATGTTTGCCATATCTAGCTAGTAATGACTATTTCATATTCTGCACTTTACTCGATTCAAATTGAACAGACGGCACAGAATATTCTAATTGTAGCCTAGGTTTTAAGATGTTTCAGTGTTCTGAAGTTTGTGTACCTTTCTAAAGGTCTTTCAAATATTTCACGGCATAGTCATATACTTTCGATATCATAATCTATATATTTTTTACACCCTCCTTAGCCAGTGCCATTACCAGGATCTGAATCCGAATGAAATTCAGCCAGCTTCAACATACGAACGTCTTTCCAGAGGTGCGTTTCCTAATTAAACATTCAACGAATCAGATCATTCTGGCATTTTACAATATTTCAGGATAAATGCTGTCGGGTAGATACTATTTTCATTGGAGTATATTTCAATCAAATTGTTGATATATTGTTTTACACTTACATCAAATAATATCTTCTTTTATTCTGTACATTTCGTTTATATATCACAGTTATGAAATTTAGAATAATTTACGTCCTATTTTCACTTTTCGGTTCCGTTAATGTTATTTTTGCTTACTAATCGTATAATGTAATTAAGTTTAAATGATTGTTATAAAGTACATGGCAGGTATGAACAGAGTACACATTATTCTTACAGTTGAGATTGATGTCGGTACAGAACAAGAAAGGTAAGAACACTTCTCATTAAAATCCAGGTAAAACACAATATATACTTTGTACGTAACATAATGTTCCGTTTCGCTGTCACTATTAAATGTATAATGGATTATGTATATACCAGTTCTCTTGTTATTGAATGTTTTGTTGAAATGTTGTTTGCACTTTATCAGACTACATATTCTAACACTTTGTTATACAAGGTTTTGTTTTTTACATCAAATTAGAAACTTATCTTAAAACACTAACTCACAGTTTCTGTTAATAAACTTTTTTTTGTTTAAAATGCACGTTCACAGAAGCCATTACGAATCGCTCAAAGGGGATTTAGCCAAACAGGAGTATGAAGAACTAACAGCTGGCGGTAGGTTCGTTTTATTGGTCAAATTCACATTATATTTGACCCTATAAACTGACAATATTCCGTTTTGTATTTAGTGTTTACCACCCATGTTATTTCAAAAACCGCTCCCCGCTAATTATTGAAACTGTGTATCTCACAAGTTACCTGTCACATTATACTTCCGCGGACAATATAATGTTATTAATTCGAAAGATTAAGTAAGTAAACGGCAAATGAAAATTGACATCTGATATCTAATGTGACTCTCTCTGTAATTTGTAAGTTTGATATATCAGTTTGTATGAATCTTAACCGATAGTAGAACTAGTGTACACCCACAAATCAGACAACTTTTACGAATAGAATGTTAGAATTACATGATAATCCGCTGTACAATTACAATATGTATTACTTTGTTCAGGGGTTGTGGGTTGGGGAGGAGTCTGAAATGAAGATTAAATTCAGCGTAATGAGTAACACAGTTGTACCAAGGTATTTGTCAGATTTTTGTTACTTTCTACATTGATAAATGCATCGCTTTCAAAATGTGTTGCTTTAAAAGTTTATTTGAATGTCATTTTTTATATCCATTTCAGGATCAAAATATGCGAACACCTGATGGTATGGACGAAATAATACTTTATGTAGAAATATGAAAAAAAAAATCATCAAACAACCTTCACCAACCATTTGAAACAACTGTGCGTTAATGAACAGAAAGTACATGGCATTTTATAACTTGAAGAATTGAAAAATACAAACTGAGAAGTAGTAAACGTAATTTCATCCAGGAGTTCTGACGATCCGCTGATTCCTTACCTCAGCAAAAGTACAGATGGGACAAATTGGCATCTGATAAATTTCCTGTATGACAGCGAGAGTGAAACGACTGTAATGAGGAATCTGTTCTCGCTCCATATGGCAATCTGCGACCTCTCATTTTAACCAGTCGCTGTTTCAGTCATCAAGGTTTTTTTAGGATCGAGTTTTCTACTTCTTTTGCTACACTATGATTTATAAGTTTAACATTTGTGATTTTCAATTGATCATATACTGTCATGTTTTCTATATCTATTTCTGTATTGGTAAATACCCTGAAACGTTTATCATCAGCTGAGTCAATCAGAAATCGACTGTGATGTCATACTGTGGATAATGACTGTTTTTTCCTTACAAGGAATTAGTTTCTGGATATACAATAATAAAAATGGTATATGTAGGTGTGTGTTATTAGAATTATGTTTTTCTTTTTTTTCAAATTCGTTGATGCGTTTAAGCTCATTTTAATTTTAAGTTGTGCTACCCAAAATGTTGCTAATAATTAAATCAATCAGCTGATTATAAACTAAAAACAAGAAGAAACAAAGGTAGACATCTGTCAAATGGTAGATAAATGTCATTATTTTCCCGCCATTTACATTATTGATAGCTGTTTTGATATTTTTGAAAATATTTACTCGCTCTGAAGTAATTGGAAATCTCATTTTGTAGCTCTCGTGTTAAAGAACCTCAAATATATATTACAACGCTTCTCCATCCGACGTGAGAGCGATCCATAGTACTGTTATCATATCCTTCCTGACATTGTATCAGTGTTCAGCTTTATGTATTCAACATTTAACCACCAAACTTTGTGTTAACTTGTAGATAACAATGAAACTAGTATATTTTATCAGTCAACATTCACTAATTATATTTGTTTTGACGATGTCAGGTGTAGTGTCAATCATCACCTTTTACTATTGCTAGTAAACTGTAAATAGTTCATAATGTTTCCACCGAATAATGATGAGTGTAAAATGTGTACACACACAAAAATATATAAATGTATATATATGAAAAATAAATGTGATAACCTTTTTTTTCATTACAACCCATGGACATAAAATATTACACAAGCTACTGTTTGGTAAAGACAAACTGTTTCAACGTATTGTTCAGTAGGATAGATTATCCTCGTCAAGTGGGTGTCTTTCATCGACCTGTAAAAGTAAGACAAAAAAAGTATACCTAACATGTTCAAAGTTCAGAAAAAGTTACACAAAGTTACACAGAAAAAAAATCTCTGAACAGACAGGTAATAAAAGGGAGGGATTCGGACCTAAATTCTTGAATCACTTTTTCGCAGTTATTAATCACAGTTTTGATCTACTATGACAAAGGAAACCTACAACTGAAATCAATTTTGGAAAGTAACATTGTAATTAAAATATTGAAAAATCGTTATGTGTTTAGCGTGTAGCTTACAGATTCCATGTCACTTACAACTGAATGGTAATCAAAATATAATCAGCGATATATTGAATATTCTCAATATTATTTATGCTAAAGACTGGATTTAAGGAATCTGTGTATCTATGATTTAAATCAAATAAAGGACATAAGTACTCCATGCATGGGCTTTCATACCATTTGCCTTATGAAGGACATGAAGTGATATAAATAGTTATTGTCAAGTAGATCCAGTCGTACTGAACAAATACTTCTGTACGTCGTTACATGTGTTATATTACATTATATGGATGATGAGAAAAATGTTTACACTTTACACTTACTGACTTCATTTTGATATTCTTTGTTTGGTTTTGTGATACTGTCAGGGAGCTATGTGTCAACATTTTACACGTTGTATCTTAATGTTAATTCTCAAATATATATGTTTCTTCGTTCTGAATTAAACTAAATCACCACTAACAATCTATTATTAGGAAAACATGAGAAAACTCGTGCCAAAGTTTTATCAGTTAAAAAACATAGATATCGTATCTTGTAAATAAACAATACCTGAAGTATTGTCTAAAGTGTCATTTTTAAGTTGTGCTTTTGTTATGAGTGTACTTTGATAAGCATGCATATGAATAAGGAAAAACGTCTGTTCGTTTCTTTTTTAAACAGGTAGTAGCGACCGGTTATGTTTCTTAGCGGCTGAAGTTTATACGGTGTTCCTACATGTCGTGGTCAGTATGTGAAATAGCATGATGAGAAACTAACGAATCGGCAGTAAAGGAACTTCGACGATGTTTGTTTAGTTCCTATACTGTTTTACTGTTCCTTTGAACATTAACTCGAACTAAAAAAAAAAGAAAACGATACAATTAAAAATATAAAAAACATGACACCTTCCAGTCGCTAGACTTTACAGACACTAATCTTTACAGACACTGATATTTACACACACTAAACTTTACAGAGTCTAATCTTGACAGACACTAAACTATACATAGATTAAACTCTACAGATACTAATCGTTGAATACACTCAACTTTACAACCACTAATCTTTACGCACACTAATCTTTACACGCACTAATCTTTACATACACTAATATTTACAGACACTTAACTCTACAGACACTAATCTTTACAAAAAGATATAGACTCTGCAGTCTCTAATCTTTACAGACTCTAAACTCTACAGAAACTATTATTGACAAACACTAAACTTTATAGACACTTATCTTCATACACACTACACTTTAAACACACAAAGATTAATCACTGCAGACGTTAATCTTTTCATACACTTAACTCCACAGACACTAATCTTTACAGAAAGTAATCTTTCCAATATTAAACTCTACAGACACTAATCGTAAAAGACACTCAACTTTTCCGACACTAATCTTTACAGAACCTGAGACATTAATCTTTACAAACACTCAAATTTACCGACATTAACAACCGAACAGGTCTAAAGAAAGAATCACCATCAATAGTTATAACTATTGACTGGTTGTGAAATAATCACAGTTTGCTGCTAACTTCCAGATGTTACAAAGTCAGAATACCATTAGAAAATTTGCAAATGTTATTCCGTGCGACTGGAGGTATCAGTTGTATATGCTCTCTAAGCATTCATTCGAACTAATGGTAATGTGAGATCACTCAAGTAACCGTTTAGATCACCCAGTCCCTTGTTATTGTCTTGATATTTCTCTGTCCGTCCGTTTGTCCGCAATCACTTTAATTGATAGATCTTTAAAGTATTATAAATGATGTATACATAATATATCACAGAAACAGTAATAATTACTGTACAGGTCAAATCCTTTCTAAAATTTTTCGAAGCGATTTATCAAGAAAATATCAACTAAGTGAAGAAAAAAATCCATCTGACGTTGAACAATGAAAGCATGACAAAATACGAAAAGTCTTTTTTCTTAAATAGTGACACAGTTCGATGTTCAAGACATGACTCCAACACATGATAAATTGATTCATTCCGCTATAATTTCGCTAGATTTTTTATCAATATATACACAAGACTTTTTTGTTGATCTTTTTTTCAATCCATGAAAACTTTTCCTAACGTTCGTCCCCTTATCACACATTCACTTTTTGTACCCTAAACACGTTTTATCTCATACACGTTCCCATTGATTGATTTAACACGACATCAACAGGACAAATGAAATGTGCATTGGCTGTGTATTTCGTCGGTAATAAAATAATGTAATAACGCTTATCACAGCGTACAATGTGAGGGTGTGCATGACAGTGTTGGAGAGTCTGTGGTAGGGGTCTCGTGCATTTAGATAAGAAAGGGCATTTGTGACTGTGGTGTGGTGTGATGATGTCAATGGATATAGTGAATATAAGTAGTGAATATTAATAGAAATGGTTGTATTTTATCGTATCTTTTATTGAATATAATAGGGGAGCTTGAGTGTACCTATTTGGAAAATCACTACGTACAATTAAAACGAAGCTAAGATATATTGGTTGATCTCTTTATCATAGCAAATCTTGTGAAAGTTTTGTTATGCTGAACCTAATTCATACCTAATGTCAAGTGTTTTTGCTCTCGTAAAACACGTCTACTTTATCACACACAGATCTGATGTAAGTTAGAAACCCTTCATAAAAAATCTCAAGGTTTGAATAAATTACTTATTTAAGCAATAATGTCTGTGCGTTTACTTCATTATTATCAAATATTTTTTAAATCCTAGTCGCGTTCAATAATTAAGGAATAATGTCACGCACTTCACTAGTGTTGCCATAGCAACAGTCAAAATGGCTGCCTTCACGATCACTTTTAGGCTTTTTACTGCTTATTTCCTACGTATGAATATATATATATAACCCCCTCTTAGGATTCCAATAGAACGGAGTAGATAATTGTCTACTAGATCTGACAATTAGTGTAATATAGACAATGTACATCCAAATTGGGTACATTTGTTAAAGACATATAGTCGTCTGCTGTTACACGTTAATTAAATTTATCCATGAATATTAATTGAATTTAGTAAAGTTGTTTTATTAAAGTGTTATGGCTCGTTACGTTGATATGTATAGCGCTTCATAACCCTTCTGTCCCTCTCGTCCTTAAAATATTTGATCGGGGACAAATCTGGTATGAACTGGGGTTTTTTTAACAGCTACTAAAGGAATGTTTTATGTCCAAGGAGAATGGACTTTAACAAATACAACTCAATTATCAACAAAGATGATCAAAGGTCATGTTAATGTCACATGGGCTACATTTTACAAGAAATGTAAATATTGATATGATATGTACAGTGCAATAGTACATTATCATATATATAAATCTTAATATCGTAAAATATTTTATTCTTACGAAGACAATGTTTGTGAAATATCTATATCATAACAAAACTATTTAGGGACAATATATAAATGAAAAATATTATTTTTTGCCGTTTAATATTTAAATTATTATTTACTAACTTTCATCTATTTGATATAAAAAAAATACCTCTACTTAGTTTAACGAGTTAGATATATTGTCACCCTGTTTTGAAACATAATTTGCTGAGATATTTAATCATTGACCAATTTGTGACAACAGCTGCCAATCAAATCTAGTACTGTAACGTCATAATTGTAACAGACTTTCATTGCTAACTTCACGACAATCACCTGTCAGCCATTTTCTGAAAGAAATTAGAGAAAGATCTGTCAAGTACTTCTCAATAAACTGATTCCACATACGTCCATCTGAAAAGGCAGCTATTATTCTATATAAATGTAAAATCATTATCGTCCATCACAACAACAAATAACAAAACAAAAAGCTGCATAACAAATCACTACCTACTTCACTAATATTTGATATCAATGTTCGATATTTAAATTTAATTTCAGTGAGATATATGTTGTAGCTAGGTTGTTCCTAGAACAAAACAAATTTAAAATGTCTTTTAAAACATATATTGATATTATTTTGATTGATATTATATTTATAATCTGAATTCAATGTATTTGTACTTTGTCTCCGGTGACCTTACATGTGAAGTGGTTGGAAGGTGCAACGTAACACGTGGGTTTTCATTATGTGATCAGGTTTTTTGATCCACAGTTAGACCAATCATGCATTTCATTCTGGCCCAATATGTGTGATTAATATACGCCTTTAACTAGTTTTGGAATTATTGTACAATAATTTCAGTTTAAGATAACGTTTTAAGTTGCCCGAGTGTTACCATAGTTATATGGCTGTATATATCCATAATTTGTTTCTACATCTTGTGACAATTTACCCTGAAATTATAGATGATATTGTAATGTTAATGCTTACAGTAATACTACTTTGTACTGAAATGATTTACACTAGATATCAACCTCCAAGACCTTAAACAACCACAATACCCTTTATACTCTATAAAATATATGATCATCACAATTCTATCATGAAATAGTTAAATGTTAAAAAGATATGGAAATTAACATCTGCATTTCAGACAATGACAATAAATAAACAGTCCATATTTTTTACAAATATCTACCAATGTATTGGTAGATCAGACAGGAACTTTCCAGCCATATATACTTATTCTAGGCCGTCTGGTATCTTGGAAGAAATCGCCTAAAGTTTGTAAAACAGACCTCTGTGACCTTGAATACATGTCAAGGTCTTTTTTCCCCAAACTTTGTTAGGCTTTATCAAAGGAACCGTCCAGCCAAATATAATGATTCTGGACCTTCCAGTATTTTGGAAGAAGTCGTTTAAAGTTTTTGACCTCTGTGACCTTGAATATGGGACAAGGTCATTTATATTCGCAAACTTTGTTGGACTTTATCATAGAAACCGTTCAGCCAAATATAATTATTATAGGCCTCCCGATATTTTGGAAGAAGCCATTTAAAGGTTTTAACACATTTGACCTCGATGACCATGAATATGGGTTCAGGTTATTTCTTTTGCAATCTTTGTTGGGCTTCATCAAAGGCCCCATCCAGCCATATATAATGATTACCTTTCGGTATTTTGGAAGAAGTTGTTAAAATGTTTGTATACATTTGACCTAGGTGACCTTGGATATGCAGGGCTCTCGATCTGCCAGCTTTGGGGCCGAATATCCCAATGCAAAATAATATCTTTTTCCCCAATTTAGACCCCAATTCTAAGGAAAACGCCGCTGTTTTTCCTTATTCCAAGGGCCCCTGGCCCCAGTCCCAAAATTTGGTGTGAGAGCCCTGATATGGGTCAAGGTCATTTCTTTTTCCAATCTTTTTTGGGCATCATCAAAGGAACCTTCCAGTCAAATATGATAACTCTACGCCTTTGGTATTTCAGATGAAGTTGTTTAAATGAAAAGTTGATTGACGCAGGACGGACGAAAAACGGACGTACTAACAACGGACGGAGTGCTATTCCATAAGCTCACTTGGCCCTTTGGTCCAGTTGAGCTAAAAAAGCCAAATTAACAAAAGAATCAGTAAGTAAAAGAATTTTGAAAAGCCGAACAGCTGAAATTTAATCACTCTTAAATGGCATTTATTACACTGAACATAGACTGATCAATAAAACAAACCTGGTATTGTCCAACATCTGGTTTGTGAATAAGTTCCAACAAGTAGAGTAATAGTAAAGACATCGTTGGAAGAAATTTTATTAACAGGTACATCTATCTTCAAAGAACTCGAAAAAGTTCGACCATTTCCGTCATCTGTCACAGTAACCACTGCATCACCCGAAACCTGGATTTCAAGAAATGTGGGTTTAAACAAAAAAAATAATGACACTGGAAATAAACAAGAGGCCTAAAACCTTCACTTGTTCTTCACTGTTACAGCTTAAAAAGATGCGTTTGCAGGTTTGTTTGGTCAGTTTTTGTAAATATGTTAAATTGAGATCAATATCAATCATATTTAAACAAGAAAACGTTCCCATGACAAGAGGGCCCAAACAGTCATCTGACTGATTTCAACCAACTTATATCTGTGAAGAACCATTTTGAGTTTCATCAAATCAGTCTGAATGTTAAACTTATTTGAGATCATATTGATATCAGGCTGCAAACCATGCTCATACTTATTCAAGTTATTGTTTAACAATGCCCAATGGTAATAAAAAAGCAAAGGGCTATAACTCTGCAATTTACAATCAAAACCATCCTATTGTTGACCTCACCAGAGATCTCATTGATACCAGGTGGCAACTCAAGTTCCATGAAACTCATTTCATGTTTACTAAAATTGTCATATTCACAAGTTGCATGGGTCCGCTTTTGAGCCACACTCCCCAGACCCTTGGGGTGAGACCCACCATTTATACACATTTGTTCTGCTTCCCAACAAGAATGCTTCTGAACGATCCACTTAGTTGTTCATGACTAGCAGCAATTTTTGAAAAACGCTGATGGACAGAAAACAGACGTCATGGTATGCCATATTCCCACTTGGCCCTATGGGCTTTATGGGATAA